GGAGGTGACCTGAAGCCACGCTTAACCTTGTCGATACAAACTTATGCTGCTGGCCAGCATTGCTGTCCTGCGGAATATTTCCTCACGCGTGGACAAGCCGTATCCCTCTAAGTCCGTCTCTGAAGGACAGTTGGCCAGGTTGTCACAGAGCAGCACCCCTCACGGACAGCAACCCCGGGGCAAAACCATTCCTCTCTCTGCTTTTGTTTTTGTGGTGGGAAGAAAGTTGGTAACGATTAGGCCACTCCGCCAGCATCCCTAGTTTCTAGGAGAGCTGTGTGTGTACAGACCCTTGGGCTCTTACGTGGAGAACAATTTGGGAGTAGAGAGGCCGGCAAAGATTACCCACTGAAGCCTGCTTACTGGTGCTGCAGAGCTTAAAATAGCTCATGAATTTCCTTTCAGGAGAGAGGCTGACGTGAGGCATTGGGCCACGTTCCCGGCATGTTTGAGCCAGCCTTTTGGGTTGTTGGTGAGAATCCAACGTTCTGGTGAGCTGCTGATCTCTCCCCGCTTTTTTCTGCGTATCACTTACTCATCTTCATGTTCACTTCCAGCTCCTGGCCAGTATTGCCACATCTGAAGCACAGAGGAGACTTTAATGTGGAGCTACAGAACAGCTGGTCACCTGGATTTTGTAGGGTTTGTGTTTTGGAATCCAAGTTCAACAGAGTGTGGGATTTTATTTCTCATGGATGGCTACAGGAAAAGCCTTGATTAATTACCCTTGTTTAGTGTAACACAAGATGAAAGACAAGGACTCCGTGTAGTAAGGTAAACTCTGCTTTTATCTTTATGTGCTAAAGGCAAGAAATCCAAGGCAGATGATATCACAGCTCACTGGGATTATGTAATTCTTGAAAACTGCATCGAAATCCGCGATGGAAATTACGAAGCGTTCTGTCTTTCAGCGTGCAACGTTTACCAGCAATTACAAAAACGACTCGTCCTTGCTGTGTTACTTGATGAAGATGTGATGATTCAATCCAGATTACTGTAAATTGCAGGGACCCTCAGATTACCGTTTGGGTTACAGAGAAGGAAAAATGTTTAGCCAGCTGCAGAGCTGGAAGGACGTGGGCGTTGCTCCTGTTGAAGCGGTGATTTCCAAAGCTGCAAGGCTGCGGGGTGCCCTGTTGCCATTAACAGGTGTTTAATTAAAAGCTTGACAGTAAACATCAGGGGTGGCCTGTGAGGAATTCTGACCGGCTTCCAGTGGGGTGAGGAGTTGGAAACCATTTCTTTAGCAAGTGAGGGGCTGTGCCAGCGCAGCCCCGTGTTTGGGTTTGAGGGGTCTGGTGGGAGCCGGCAATGATGTTTTCCACGTGTGGTTGGCTAGAGAAAATTCCTGTTGCTTGGACCAGTTTCAGGAGACAGGTTGATATCCCGCATACTGAGAAGTACCAAACAGCCGTAGGGATTTCTCCGAGTCCCTTTTGAGGAACAGAGATGTTCGACTGATCTGTGCGTTCTCGGGTTCTCATTACTGGCTCGCTAAGCCCCAGCTTCTGCTCAATAAGATCCGAGAGGAATTTTTACCTTCCAGCC